TTACTGTCAATAACTTGTAATTTTCTCTTTGCATCTTAACTGATTCTTAAAGATTCCCAATCAAGATAATTGAAACAAAATGCTCCAATCTGATAATTTAAATTCCAATAATTTTGTAATCTTGCAACTGCATTCCAAACAAACACGCACTATATATATCATTTCCTGACCAAGCAAATATTTTAAAAGACGCAAATCATTTGGTTAACCTGGATCAAAATCATGGTCGTCCCAAATGATAGTCTCCATCTCTTGTCCCAAATAAACCATGCTCTGAGAACAAACATTGTCTTTTCAGTAAACTTGAGAAAGCATGAAGACTTGTGAAAGCCAATTGGATCTTTGAGAATTTATTTCTTTTGAGAATTGCAAGAAAAACCCTAATTGCTGGTTTACTGCCACATGAGAAAATTTGTCTGATCGATTCCTGAGCCAACTTGAATATCTGAGGAACCCTAGGGTTGTGTTTTCTATGAAAAATGGGAGGACAAATTTTGGAGTACAACACTAATTTTACAGGTCCAACCTATACTTCCGTATCAGAGATCGTCACCAGTGATTCAAGATAAATCACTATAGACACACCAATTCTAATTCCAAAACAAAACTATATATATATATATATATATATATATATATATATATATATATATATATATATATATATATATATATATATATATATATATATATATATATATATATATATATATATATATATATATATATATATATATATATATATATATATATATATATATATATATATATATATATATATATATATATATATATATATATATATATATATATATATAAGCCTTTAAAAAAGACTCGCAAACACACCTAAAAAATACTATTTTAATGTCACTCAACCAAAAATAAATATTTTCAAAACAAAATAGATTTATTAGAGGTGTTTGCGGATCAGTTTGGTTCGGTTTCGAAGGAATCTGATGCTTAAATCGATAAAAAAATTATATAGATTAGTTTGGATTGGATGTGCACATTTTTGCGACAAAGTTCAAATTGATCCAAACTGAAAAGTAATAGGTTGATTTGGGTTGGATTGATCGAAATATTAGAAACAAATACGCAAAAATATTTTAAAAAAAATCTAATTTAAATTAACTAGTTTTCCATAATAATATAAATTTTTTAATTTATTTGTTTCTCCATATAGGTTACAAATGTTATAAATGACGTTTCATTTTTTTATTCTTGAAGTGGAATATGTTATACTAAGTTTCATAATAACGATGATATAAATTATATGAATTAATATAGTTGGTTCGGGTAGACGGACTCGTAGGTAGAATTTTAGAAATTCGTTACCCGAATCAATTAATATTGAGTTTCATTAGTTTGAGAATTTAACATGTCCCTCCCCCCAAGGGTATGAAAAGACTAAATTATTCAAACCCAAAATTTTCTCAAAAATTCCAAACTTCCAGTACCACATCATATTTTTTTAATTCACTGGGCGATACTGGAAATTTCAAGGCGATACCGGAAATTTTGTGAAATAGTAAGGAATTTACGGTAGATTTTTTGTGTAATTTCCGGTATTTTGTATCAGAAATTTTAAAATGTCCGGTATATTCTAACTGGAAATTTTTAAAATTTTGGGTTTAGTATTTACCTTTTGTACCGGAAATTTTGAAATTTCCGAAGCTTTGCAGCACGTACCAGAAATTTCAAAATTTCTGATAGTTCAATTTTTTTCCGGTAGTTTTGGTAGTTCATATTTTCCTAATTTTCCCCTTTTATTCATTATTTTAGTGAGGACCAGGGGGAAAATGGTTCTGTTGCAGACAGGGTGGCCAATAGAGCGGAAGCTCAGGCCTTGGCTGACGAGGCACGGGCTTCTAAGCTATGGGCTAGACGACATCCTTTGACCGGTTTCTCATTGAAAATAGATGGTTGAGCAGCAAACGCAGTTCCGTGCACCCCGCTGTCGAGGAGTTATAATTTTTACTACTTAGGAGGTACATGCTCCTGCTCCTGTGGATGTGACTGTGATTGAGTCGGCTTTTGAGTAGACTATTGAGGAGGTTGTGCCTCTTGTGGAGCCAATTCCTGAGCAGGTTGTGGAGCCTATTTTTGAGCAGGTTGTGGAGCCGGTTACCGAACAGGTTATGAAGCCGATAGCTGAGCAAGTTGTAGAGCAGGTTCAGGAGGGTGTTGTTGAGCGTGTTGATAAGGTGTCCCCCACTGATACAAATACTATGACTCATGGTTCTATAAATCCATCAGTTCACACTGATGGAGCCTTTCCAGAAGGACCTTCAGATAAGCCAATGCTCACAGGATTTGTTGACCATACCGTTATAGGATATGGCATGATGAGATATATATTTTTTAATTGGTTGATGTATAATATTTTATTTGCAAGTATTTGAAAGTTGATGTATAATATTTTATTTTTGCTTCTTACAGGAGCGTCCGATGTTGAAGGCCGCTTCCCATGGTTCGAAGTTGAAGAACTTCTTAAAGGGTGACATGCCTGAGAAGGTCAGTAGTATTGTTAGAGATTTTCAGTTGCTGGAGTCCGCTTAGTGCTCCTTGATCATGTTGGACGCCTCCCTGTTGTCTGTTTTTGTTATGAGGTAGCACCGAGAGAAATCATCCTTTCATCTTCCATTTGGGGAAATGAAGGTAACATTGGATGATGTCGACGCCCTGTTTCATATCCTGGTCGTTGGTACATTCTTCACACCTTCTCATATTAACCATGTGAAGGCGGTTCACATGGTTGCAGATGATTTAGAGGTATCTAAGGCGAATGCGCTAGAGGAGTTTGGCTTTAACTGAGGATTTCACCTTCAGATGTCTTGGATTAAAGATAGGTATGTGGAGCATGTGAAGGCTCATAGGTACCAGGCTTCCACTATGGCGTACATGCTACATTTTGTGACATGTACTCTCTTTATGGACAAGTATGAAGTTTACATCAATGTTCGTTACCTGTCTATGTTCATCACCCTTAACACTCCTTGTTGGGCTTGGGGAGTGGCGGCGTTGACTATGCTATACACGACACTTGGAGTTGCTACTCAGCCTGAGACCAGACAGTTGGTTGGTTACCTTAGTCTTTTACATGTATACTATAATTTATTTGATGGTTTTATTATTTATTTGGGTGTATTTATTTAATTGTTTTTATTTATGCAGTGCTAGATATACGAGCACTTCCCCCACATCTGTAACCGAAAGATCCAGTGTGTCCCGACTACTGTACCATGTGCGAGGAGATAGAAGGCCAAGCAAGCCCTTCTAGGTGGTTTGATGGAGTACCGAAGGAGGCTTGACACTCTGACCGTAGAGGATATCGTCTAGACACCATACATCGACCTCATTGTGCATTTACGCTTCTTTGTATTTAGGGTATATCAGGTGGGAGAACCATGTGACTAGACATTTGCCTGAGAGGTGTCTACGACAATATGGTTTGATCCAGGGAATCCCTCATCCAATTTTCGTGGCTCTAGTTGGTGGCATTGGTATATGGTTTCAGAGTCACATCATCAGCTCTGCACGTGAGATCAGAGAGAGATCAATTGTGGTTCACCATCCTTCACAATGCAAGGGTGGATACCTAGAGTGGTATCACAGTGTATCACACCTCTGGGTCATTACACCGGCTGCAATATCTAATGTTCCGGGCCTTCACGTGCTAGGGTTTATGTCGAGCCATCACCACAATCTCCACCACATGCAGGTGATCAAGACAGCCACCTACAATTTATTGCAGTTCATTTAGATAACCCGATGGGTTTGGTAAACCTCGATGGTGATATTTATACAGGTTTAGCTAGGTTAGCCAATGTAGCTCGTAGATGGCCTATGTAGATTTGTTTTATTTTGGTTATATTATATCTATATTTTGTGACACACAGACTTCATATTTATTGCATAATATTTTGACGATTACATGTTTCGAATCGATGATGAACATAACATAAAACCATGCAATAAATAAAAACTAAAAACAACTAAACATGAAAACCTATGCACTACCGGATGATTCTGGATGTTTCAGCATCTTGATTATGTCGTCGGCGGATCTTCACATCTAACTCAATCAAACTTTTAGTTATCCTACAGCGAAATGTTTTTCACGTGGCCTTCACATCTTCATCGGTCTTCAACTCAATCAGGTTGTATGTCACCCAACCATTTGTATCAATATAATGGTCCTGAAACTCGATCTTTGTCACCCTTCTTTTATCATAATCAGGAAGTAATGCATTCAGCGTTTCTTTCAAGATGGCAAGGGATGTGTTGCCATCTGGAAGCTTGAATTCAACAACAAGATTGCTTCTGTTGTAATATACTTCTGCCTTAATTAGAAATTGAGGAATAGACATTTTTTGTGATATTTTTCTCTATAGCATATGCCTCTATTTATACAAATTGTGATGCATTCTAGACCATACAAATAATAAAAATTTCAAAAATTTCAAATAAACCGCCAAAAATATCAGAAATTTCAAATACACTACCAGAAATTTTCATAAACCAAAAATTTTGCAGGGGTGTATCGAAAATTTTTCATGTACCAGAAATTTCAAAATCTCTATCAAAAATTTCGTTTAAAAATTGTTTGTATCTCAATAAGAGTAATTATGAAATAATTAAAATTGGAGGTGCCATGTTTAATTTAAAAATATGATTTAATTTAAATTTCGATTATATTCGGATTTGCCCGAACCAATGAACACCCTTAAAATTTACACGGGAAGAGTATGTATAAGAAAAAAGAGATTGCAAAAAAGAAACCCACTAGCCAAGACACTTAAAAAAGGCCCATCCTGGCCGAAATGATGATTCATTCATTTTGACACGAGAGTAATTTTGAAACAAAAAAGAAAAAAGAAAAGACATGAGAGCATGAGTAGCAATAAAATAAAATAAGAAAACTCAATATCAGTGGTAAGAACAACTGAGAAGAGAGCAAAGGAAGAAGAAAAAAAAAATACAAACTAGAAGACGACGAAATGAGCGACGGAGGTGCAAAACGACAAGGCGGAAGACCATTACCGCCGCCGCCAAGAGGCCCCCCTCCTCCATCGTCCCGCCCTCGCCTCGAACCCGTCGATCGCGAAAAGGTACTGTAAACCCCTAACCTAATTTCGTATCTTCAATTCTCTCTGTTTCTCTTCCAATTTAACCGTTTTCTTTTTCTATAATTCCAGACTTGTCCCTTGCTCTTGCGTGTTTTCACTAAGGTACATCATTTTACACTAATCTCTTTTTTTTTTCTAACCGTTTTCGTTCAGAAATGATCTAGATTGTTGTAATTTGTTGGTTTGTTTTTTCAGATTGGAAGTCATCATACGATGGATGATTTTTCGGTTAGAGGGAAAGAACCTAAAGATGAAGTTCAGATTTATACTTGGAAAGATGCTACTCTTAGAGAGTTAACCGATCTTGTATTCTTCTAACCCTATCTTTTTCTATCCTTTTTTATTTGGTTAATGAGATAGCTTTTTTACTCCAATTAGAAGCAGTTTTTGGATTAGCTGTGAAAATTTTTGAGCTCTGTGTGGTAGCCTGTCTTGCACGCCTTCAAAGATGGCACTGGCACTGGTAGTGGTTATAGAAATAGCCTATACATCTTTACATAATCAGCTTATAATGATTAGTGCTTATGCTATAAGTTTCCAATTAAGCTGTTTATCCAAACATGGTCTAGATTACTTTTACATCCACATCTCTTGAAAACTCATCATATTTCCACATAAGCTCAATTTGCAACTAGCTGCATTGGATGTAAATAAAACACTAATTTATACATGCATGTCCCCTTTTCTCATAGTTTATTCATGGTTTATCTCGACTTAACTTATAACCTTAAACACTTAGGTTACTTAAATGTGTAAGTGTTTGAGGGTGCTTATGAAAAATAGATATGAGGTATTCATAAATAGTTTTCTGCTTATTAAGAGCTTGGGAAAATAGCTTGAAGTTTTATGTGGCAACAGTATTATTAGCTTGTTTCCTCTTTGATCATAGAAATAGATTATGTGTAAGCACTCATGTATCATATCATAAGTGGTTATTCAATAACTGCTAATTGACTTGTTTACTCAAACACACCTTTAGTTGTTCGTGTTCATCGGATGCAATTTAGTTTATTTAGTTTTTACTGAGCTATGCTTTTGGCAATGTTTGGACATAAGTTGAAACCTCTTAGAATTTGGGTTGGGTTTTAACAAAACTGATTTATGTTTCACTTTATAAGATAATTATTTTTCCTTCTGTTTCTATTGATGATCATAGAATTTTTATATTGTTTATTTATTTTGTTTTTATGTATTCAACTATTTATTCGGCAAATGATGTGTGAGTTGAGCCTTTGAAAACAAAGAAATAAAGTGAAAATAAGATTACAATTTTCAAGTTATTAGTTAGAATAGGAAATGAAAAAATAGAAAATGTTCTCCTACTGGAAGGCCTTACTAATATTATCCAGACCATTATCTGTATTTTTTTGAATGGAGTGATAATGTTTTTCTTTTTTCTTTTTAGCTTATGATTGGTTTTAATGTATATTTTGTATAGGTCAAAGAAGTGGCTCCTGCTGCAAGAAGAAGAAATGCAAAACTCTCTTTTTCTTTCGTGTTTCCTGATAAAAATGGTCGTTTCAAAGTTCAAGAGGTAATTCTCCTCCCTTAGTGGCTCTTGCTTATTAATCTTCTTAGTGCCATGTTTTTATGTGTGTGTGTGTGTGTGTTCATATATTGTAATTTTATCCATAGTTTTAATAAACACATTGTGTTGTTTCATTTTTTATGGGTGAGCTGCTTACAAATTACAATCATGAATATGTATGTTCTAATGATGGGTCAAATTGGCTTAATTGTAAAGTAACCACCGCATTATTCATATTTGAGTGTTATGATGATGGAGCATTGTTGTCAAATAGCAGTTACCGAGAGCTATAGTGTAGCAAAATTTGAACAAATTGCTATTGTTTCGTGATACGCTTTTTGGTATGTGTTGTCAAATAGCGGTTATAGCGGTGTTATAGCTGCATCATAACAGAATTTGAACAAAACGCTATTTTCTAAAATCCGCGATTGGCGGTACTGTTATGGACTATGGAGATAAGTATTATACTGCAGTTGCAACCTTAAGGTTTTTGTGGTTTCTGCAAACTAAATCTGTGACTGCATTAGCTACTTCCCTATATCACTTCAAGATTCTTATATTTGAGTTGTTTATTAACATTTCATGAATTTTATTTGTTGAAGCTAATTAGTATCACACAGACACAACAAGTAAATTGTAATACATGTGCAGAATCATTTGTCTGAGGACTGAGTTAAGCATGTTACAAAGGATGGAAACCTGCAAGAAACTCTTGTCCCGGATCCGTTGTTTTAACCTAACATCTTTAAGTTCATGTTACCCATTTTGCACAAATTTGCAAACTTTGTTTTTGTTAGTTTGTGCAAAGTAAAAATCACCCAAAGGCACCAAAGGCTAGTAGCATTCTGGCTCTGCATGGACACCTTTTTAGCACCTTATTAATCGGAAAATCGTAGTTGAGACTCTGATCATATGCATGTTCAAATTTGACAAATTATGAAGCTTATTGTGAATCATTTTAGAGACGCTAAATTTCAATGAGAAATAAAACAGCCTTCCATCTTACTTGCTATCTCATACCATTGAAACCCTCTTCTTCTTTATGATGCCCGCCCTTTAGTTACTGTTGATATAGTGATCTGAAGCCAAATCTGTATACTGTAAAGAGTTTTTAATATAAAGAGGTCTACATATTTTCCAATAAGTTATTCTCTTTAATAATACCTTGTTTAATTAACTATTGTAAGATGCAATCATGAATAATAGCTTTTGTGTTGAATCAATCTAATATCCTTTCATTCCTGCTTGATTGCACTTGATTGCACTATGAAGGTGGGTAAGACCCTATCTTTTGGAAATGGAAGATTAGATGATAACAAGGCTTTAGCTGAGCTTGGTTTTGAGGTAAAGAATTATTCTCACTGCATTTATGCTTGCATTTCGCAAATTCTTTTGCTGACTTTGTTTTGAATGTGCAGATTGGCGATTACTTGGACGTGGCTATTCTGTAGGTTATTTTCATGTAACATTCATGTGTGAGGGTCTCAAACACTTGATCTATCTTGAGAGTTGAATACTTTGTAGAATGTTTATTTGTTAATGTTGCAGGAACTTAAAATGGTCCAGTTTGTTTGATTGTGAAAATGATAGATTGGCAATTGGTCAGCATGAAGACCGATTTATGACCTGTTTGAGAGAGCAAAAAAGAATATGAGAATAGAATGATTTACCTATAAATGTCTATTATCATTATCACGGTGTCTTCCTTGTATTATTGTTTACTTAAAGACTAAAAGATAGAGTATAAAATGGTTTAAGATACAACAACAATCAAGCTTATCTCACTAAATAGGTGCTGATACATGGATAAAATTTCGCCATTATTGAATTAGGAGAGACTAAGAGACATTTAAGTTAAACTGTGTTTTGAAAAACACTATGAAAACTTTATTATATATAGAGCGATTGTAGCTAATTATATAATATAATCGATGTGAGACTATTGTATATACAAATACTCTTAACACTATATATTTACAAATATCAATATTCCCTCTCAAGCATGAGCATATAAGTCAATTGCATCAAACTTACCACATATATAATTAATTCTATGATTTTATAGAAAATTTGTAAACACACTCTAATTGATCATTAGAGTTGACAAAGCTTGTGAAAATGTCTGTTTAAATTTTCTCTCTGATAAAGTGACAATCTATCTCAATATGTTTGGTTCTCATGGAAGATTAGATTTGAAGCAATGTGCAATGCAACTTGATTATCACAAACAAGTGTCATTGGTCTTATTTCTTCAATTTGAAGTTCTTTGAACAATTGTTTTAACCAAATGAGTTCACATGTTGTCATTGCCAAGACCCTATACTATGTCTTGGCGCTTGATCTTGCAACTACGTTTTGTTTCTTATTTTTCTAGGATATAAGGTTTTCTCCATCAAGTACACAATACTCAGAGGTGAATCGTCTATCGATGGATGACCCAACCTAATTAGCATTAGAGTATCTTACTATATAAGTATGTCATTTATCTTCCTTCATACACTAAACCTTTTTTTCTGGAGTAAATTTGATGTATCCCAGAATCTAAATAACATTCATGTGTTCCTGACAAGGGGAATTTAAGAATTGACTTACTACACTGACTGCAAAAGAAATGCCGGGTCGAGTGACTGAGATAATTCAACTTTTCAATCAATCTCCTATATCTTCATGAGTCAGATAAATGCTCTCCCTGATTGGATAGTTTTTTGACATTTGGATCCATATGAGTATCAACTGACTTAGCATTCAACAAGCATGTTTCTTCCAAAATATCCATAGCATATTTCTGCTAAGAAATCACCAAACCATCTTTAGATTGGGCTACCTCAATACCCAAAAAATAATGAAGTTTATCAAGATCTTTTGTTTGAAATTGATTCGAGAGATGTTGTTTCAACTGTAGTATTCCCTGCTGATCACTACCAGTTATGACAATATCATATACATACACAATAAGATAAATACACTCTTGAACTGAGTGACGGTAAAAAATAGAATGGCCAGCTTCACTACGGATCATACCAAACTATTGTACTATAATGCTGAAATTGTCAAACCAAGTTCTCGGAGATTGCTTAAGACCATAAAGAGACCCGTGTAGCCTACACACCATATTCGATGACTCCTCCTGAACAACAAACCCAAAATGATTGTTTCATATATACTCCCTCTTCAAGATCACATGTAAAAGTGTATTTTTGATGTCAAGTTGATGAAAAGGGCAATGTCGAATGGTTGCAATGGCTATAAGAAGTCTAACATATGTCATCTTGGCTATAGGTGAGAATGTATCACTATAATCCAATCCAAAAATATGAGTGTATACTTTGACTACCAAGCGATATTTAAAACGATCGATCTTACCATCTGGTCCAACTTTCACTGTATAAACCCAAGGACAACCTACTACATGTTTCCTAGGGGATAGAGGTACCAGTTCCCATTATTTTGAAGAGTACACATTTCATCTATCATTGTTTGTCTTTTCTCAGGACGAGATAATGCTTCACCTAAAATGTTAGGAATAGAAACAGAAGACAAACAAGTATACTGCAAAGGGAAAAATGATGATAACATAAATCAATATAATAATGAAAAATAATTATGTAATTTTTTTAACTCACATGAATTTGTGAGCTTTCTCTTTGCTACTTGGTATTACTTTATTTGAGATATAATCCGTAAGCTTCTTAACTCATGTCGAGTTTGAAGTAACGACACATACTTTGACTTCGTAAACACCAGGTGTTTGCAATATCATAAAACCAATGAACTGATGTTGACTAAATGCCTTAATGCTATCCAATTTTCCCAACTCGCTAGCTTTAATATTATCACTTTAGGGGATGTGGTATACTATAGTATTAGTTAGTTATTTATAACTAAATATTAGAGATTTTATCTTTGTATATATGTGATGTTAATCTCACTTATACTAGTCAGTTAGACATTCATAATACAACGAAATCATCTCTTTCTCTCCTAAATTGTTAATTATAACATGACATCAGAGTCTGGTTTAAGATTCGGTGGACTATCTACTATAATATGGTATTAAAAGACATTTTCTGATATTAGCATTCACATCTACGCTCCCATTTCTTCTCCCTCTTATTTGTTCATTCATCCATGGAGAATCAGGTTGATCCATACTACCTACATTCATCTCATCATTTCGGTGTTACTCTTGTTTCACAACCACTCACTAGTGACAATTTCAACTCATGGCGCTATATGCCAAGATGGTGGCACTCAATGGCATGGACAAACTAAGGTTTTTGGATGGTTCAATCCCAAAACCTGGTGAAACCAATCCTCTTTTTTTCTCTTGGATGTGTAATAATAACACAGTTTCTTCTTGGTTGCTCAAAATGCCGCATAAATATAGAAGGAGCTCTATGATCAGTTTCGACAAAAGAATGGTCCTCGTTTTTTCCAATTGAAAAAGAATATTTTGAATGGTATTCAAGTTTCGTCTACTATCAGCACCTATTTTACCACCTTCAAATCTTTATGGGAAAATTGAAGGAATTTCGTCCTATTCATCAATGTAACTGGGGAGGGGGTTTCAACCAATCGTTGATCATATTTAAAATGAGTACATTTTAACTTTTCTCACGGGCCTTAATGAAACCTTCAATCAAGTTCGTGGCCAAATTCTATTGATGGATCCATTTCCATCATTCAATGTTATGTTGTCTATGGTTTCTCAATATGAGAAATAAAGGGAAGTTATTACTGCTTCAACCCCTATTGAATACAAATTGCCTTTTCAGTTCAAGGTAACATCGAGAATTTCAAGAAAGAGTGCCCCATTTGTTCATATTGTGGTGTTCTTAGCCATACAAAAGAAAGCTGCTTTAAATTTCACATTTTTCCTCCTGGATTCAAGAAATCTCAAGGTCCAAAAGTTTCTTCACAAGTAAATAGTGTGTATGATAGCTCTGCTACAACTGGAGATACAAATTCAGATGTAATGTCTATGCATGCTCACCATTGTCAAGAATTAATTCAGTTCTTACAAGCTTAAATGGCCAACGGAGTCATACCTGAAGTTAGAGCTTCAGTGAATTTAGTCATTGATATGAGTTTTCTACTCTTGATTCCCATAAATATCATTTATCTAACACTCGGGTCATTGATTCAGGAGCTACATCACACATTTGTTGTCATTCTTCTTTATTTTATAACTATACTCCTTTAATCAAGAAGTTTGTAACTTTTTTTTAATGGTCACCAAATTAGTGTTTCAGCCATATGTAGTATTATTTTGAGTGATGTACTCATTTTACACCATGTTTTGAATATACCATCTTTTACAGTCATCCTTTTATCTGTTGGAAAGCTGTTTCTCAATCCTCATTTTCAAATACTTTTTAATTGTGATAATTTCTTCATTCAGGACACCATGCAATCCAAGATGATTGGCAAGGGTGAACTGCTTCATGTCCTTTACATTTTCAACCATATGCAAAGAATGTTCAAGCTCATGAATCCATTCCTCTACTTAATTGTAATGTTGTTTCTACTTTGAATAGTTCCATGCTATGACACCACAGGTTAGGTCATATGACTCTATGTTAAAAGCTGATAGCAACAAAATTCCTTTGTGTATGAACCTCAATTTTATCATCAAACCTCTAAATTGTTTGAATGGTACAAAGCTACGAATGAAGAAATTGCTTCCCTTGAAGCTAATAATACTTGGAATGTCCAACTACTACTTCTTGGTAAAAAGACAATATGTTGTATATGGATTTACAAAACAAAATATAAAGCCGATGAAACCTTAGATAGGCACAAGACACGCCTTGATGCAAAAGGATACACACAACAAGGCAATGGATCTTTAATAATTATTTTGTTAGTCTAATGTAGATGACATAGTCTTGGCCAATCCTTATACAATTATGATACTTAAGTTTCTGGGAGATCTTAAGTATTTCTCGGGTTTCGAGATTGGCAGATCAACGAAAGTCTCGTTTGAGGTACTAAATCATCTAAGTCTCTCTTGAGGGACTTGAGCATCAAAGTTTCGCGCGAGGGACTCGACTATCCAAGTCTCACATGAGAGACTCGATTATCTAAGTCCCGAGAGACTCGACTATTTAAGTCTCGCCTAAAATACTCGACTATCTATGTTTTGCCCAAGTGACTCGACTATATAAGTCTTTCTTAAGGGACTCAACTATCTAAGTCTCGCCCAAAGGACTCACCTTTTAAAGTCTCGCTCAAGTGACTTAATTATTTAAGCCTCGCCTTAAGGACTCAACGATCTAAGTCTCGCCTAAGGGACTCGTCTATTTAAGTCTCGTATAAGAGACTTAACTATCTAAGTCTCACCTCAGGAATTCAACTATCTAAGTCTCACTTGAGAGACTCAACTATCTAAGTCTCAGCCTAAAAGAAATTACCTCTTGTAACATTTTGCCTCTTCCTAAGCCTCGTGCTTGAGGGACTATGAACTATAGTAATTTAGATTGAACCCTAGAAGAGGACAACCCATAACTCATATAACCCAAAGTCTCATAAAAGGTCATAAGACGAGTAGGGAGGGCCAGCGCTCGCCTGGTCCACCTTGCTCGATTGTGGCCTAGGTTGCTTGGCCCATATCGATGTTCTTCATTTGATCCATCAAGCTAACATGTGGTATGCACTATATTCCTAAATGAGTTAGTCAAACGTAACAAAAAAGGGGAAAATAGTTTCCCTTTCAATGGAGGAAGAACCAATTTCCTCTACTTCCCAGACTTCGTAGGAAAAGTAGAAGAAATAGTTTCTCTTCCAATTGCACGACTCTAAAAGGTGTCAATAAATGCTTTAACCTCAAGATTTGGAGACTTATTGACTAACTCCATCAAACCTTAAAGTACATACTTGCTATCAAACATGTGAGAAGACTCTCATTAGCTCTAATTGTATTTCACAGATACAAAATTATATATTAAATATTTTTCAGAATTTTAGTTATATGTTATCATTCCGTATTATTACTACATCTGTCTCAAAATAATAACCTTTTAAAAATATTGCATAAAGATTAAAAAAATGATGTAAGAAATAAATGTGATAATTTTACAAAATTATCCTTAAATACTGCTCCCTCCGATCCTTTTTATAAAAGACAGTTTACTTCTTAAGATTTATCGAATAATTAATGTATATAATTTATATTATAGATCAAATACATTAATTATTTAATAAATCTAAAAAAAATAAAATATTTCATATAAAAGAACCATAGAGAATATAAGTTATTATACATTATCAAAGATGTATGATATTATTTAATGACTAAAAGGTAATGAAGGTGGTATTAAAAAAATAAAATAGTGAAGACAATATTAATTATAAGTAAAATTTAATTAATTTTGCATTGAAAAAATAAAACAAATAAGACAAAATTCTATTAAAAAAACTCTTATTTTGGAAAGAAATGAGTAATAGTTTATCCAATTTTAATTTGCAATTATAAAAATGTCATATTAAATTGTGCACTAAACGCCCGACTTAAAAAAATCTATTATGTTAACTTGTAACCCCTAGACACAAGTTAAAAAATTCACTTACAAAAAATTTATATTAGAAATTTTTTTTTTTTACGCTTTTATTAAAATCAATGCTTTCTAAGATATTATTTCTTCATTTATGACCCATCAAAATATTATATTGATAAAAAAAACGCTAAACTTGTAAAAAAGTCAAGCCACAACTTCCAAATTGAAAATTTCTATATTTAGTTTCTAATTTAATAGTCAAACAAAGTGAATAGTTTTTCTTGCCGACGACCAACGACGTCGTTTCCACCATCAGCGCCGTTATCTTAATTACAAAATCCAAACAATGCAGATTAGTTTATTCTTAGTTCATTAATCATCACCTTGCATGATTAACCATCACTAATCACCAAGAAAACAACAAGCAAAACAATAGAAAAAGCGAGAAAACAAAAAAATCAGTAACAGAACAAAATATCCCAATAATACCATTACTCGCTTCTTCTCTCTCATTGTGATTCCGTTTTTTTTGGAACTTCGAAATCACGCACAGTGATGGTTTTCTATTCATCTCTTTGCTACTTCAACCCTAACAACTTCAACCGCTATTTATTTTCCAGTTCTCTCTCTCTCTCTCTCTCTCTCTCTCACACACACACACACACTATGTATACTCTTTTTCTGAATTTTGCTTTTGTTTTACAGGTTTTTGATACGCAATGGCGCCAAAGCGAGGGATTCCCTTCGCCAAGAACGGAAGCAAAGGAGTTCGTTTCACTGTTTTGAGATTCGTTCTTCTCTGTGTTCTTACGCCGGTTGTTTTCTTCCTCAGTCGGGGTTCTCATGTTGCAGGTTAGTATACTACGTGTTGAGGATTTTGTAATTCATTTTTGGTACACTTTTGTGTTAGAAGGGGAAAGTTCGACTTTTATGGTTTTTGGAAGTGTTGTTGCTTTATTGGGAAATTGGATTAGGGAAGGGTTGTTTGGAGAATAAGGTAATTATGATGAAGTGTTATTGACGTCACTATTTTGACTTGGAATGGAAAGTTCTGCTAAGCGGTGGTAAAAAAATTGATTTTGAGTGAATTGATCATGTAAAATTGATTCTGGTTAAAAGTGAATTCTTTTTTTTAGTTCTCACCACCGGTATAGTCCGGCTCTCTCCCGATCGTAGTTGAGGGGGATCGAACCGAAGTCCTCCCTACTAAGTTCAACGCCAATCATCAATGATGTAAAGTAATTTATGTTTGGATGACTTTATGTAAAATTGAGTTGGAACAATAAATTTCATTTCAATGTAATAATCAGTTTAAACTCAAACTATAAATTCTAACTTTAGGTAGAATCAATTCTACTTTAGTAGAACCAAATATCTCAAAATTTTTCCAAAATCAATTCTACACCTTTAGAATTGTTTTTGACTCTTTCAAAAATGAAACCAAACATATACGGAGTTGTATCCTGTTTTTTTTTCGTGACTTTCTTTAACTGCATTATAGGAAAAACCACAATTCCTTTATTAGTTTAATTAACTAGCTGTTCTTTGTTGTTTGTGAAATGTGATTAATTTCGTGTTTTGGTTTTGGCGTCTTTGGAGACCGGTAAGAGTGATTTTATGCTAATGCAATTTTTCAAGTTGATAAGTGATGATAGGGTAGTGTGTGTTGTAAGATGAGACCGTGTTTAGAGGTGTATGAAATGATAGGGTAGGTGTGTTGATAAAATATGTCTTGCACAATATGGTGGTGACGGTTTCTTCTTTGCACTTTATTTGGAGATCTTGGGGTCTCTGAGATTGGCAGTCATGTGAATGCTTTGTCACTAATGCGTAGGATTTGGAAAAGATGTGATTCAGGATGGGAGTACCAATGACGAACACAATAGGGAAGACATTATCTTAGGTTCATGTAAATAATTATTCTGTAACTATGGATAATAACACTGAGGAATTCGATTTGGATTCTATTGCTGTTTATTTTAACACAGCCTTATTTCTTTATGTTAGGATGTAGAATATTTTTATGTTAGGATGTAGAATATTCTTGGGTTCCTAACACTTTATATGGATGATAATTGTATCATTCCAAATTTTAGTGACGATTTGAGCCAATATCTTAACCTTTGATCTCTATTCTTTAATTACATGCCATGTATATTTATAAACAGTAGTTCAAATACAATTTCATATCAAATAATGTTTGTACCACTTTGGTGCTTGTGTTTGGCGTTAATAGTTTTGGTCCTTATACAACTTATTTTTGCATTAATCTCACTCAGTATCTGTTTCTTGTTTTAAGCATTTATCAAGGGAACTTGTTTGTTTAGCAATCCATATAATGTGGTACATTGAAATTGATGTAGTCATGTAAGGGAAAAAGGCTTTATTGTGATTCCTTGAAAGTCAATCTCTTAGTTAGTTGACAACTGAGTTAGTTAGTAGGTTATTTAGTTAATGGGGCAAGACTGGAAACTATAAAAATAGAAAGGAGATTAAAGGGGGAATCTTTGGTTTTATTAGGAAATTGGAGTGAGTAAACACCAAGTCTCTAATATCTGGACTGTAATAGTTATTTTCAATCAATAGACACCATTTTTTCTATAATCTAATCAAGTTCCTACAAGTGGTATTAGAGCTTCTATTTTGGAGCTGTGGGGGAATCATTCCTGAAAATGACTTTAGTGACATTTGATGCGAAGGAGGCTTCTTCATAGCTCATCCAAATACATAAGAATTTTGGAATCATTAGAATCCTGAGGGAATAAAGATATTGTATGTGGTGGCCTTAAAAGAAGAAGAAGAATGCATCATGGTGGGCCTTTGAGAAGGCGGTGCTCAAGAGATTTGAATCAGAGGTCTGGCTTTCCCTTCAAGATTCTGGATCTAAGGAGCAAGTGAAAATAGAACCTTTTAACATCAAGGGTTGTGATTAGACAGAAGAAACCCAAAACAGTGGAGGTGGCGGAGAACAATGAGTTATTAAGACTGTGGTCAACTAGAGACACAGGAGAAACTAGTATAAAAGGAACTAAGAGAAGCATGTAAAGGAGAGAAAGGTTGGTCATACAATGGTGGAAAAGAATTGAAATAAGAATTGAAATATTGTCTTATCTCTTCAAGTGGCCAGACTATCAACTTCTGTTGTTCCAACTGGTATGCTTCCTCTTAAGTAAAGTCTTGGGTTTAAGTTTTCTAAATTGAAAAATAGTTTTATTCTTTTGAGTGAGTTCACTTGACTTGACTGAGATTAGTTGGGATTCAATGTGATAGTCTAAAACATAAGCACACTCAAAAATTGAAAGGGGAGCCTTGGTGCAAGGATTGAAGTTAATGTTGTGTCTAGAGGACATGACTTTCTGTTGTGACATTAGCCTCTTGCAACTGCAAATGTAAGGCTTCCTACAATAAATATGCAATGGGTCTATGGCAGAGCTTTACAGAACGTGAGTATCCTTTCTTCTGTATGTTGTAGAATTAGTGGTCGAGAGACTATCGGTTCTCACTTTTGTTAATGACGGTTAAATTGTGAGAATTGAAATAGGGTACATCTATCTTCTAGTTTCTTCTACCTATTTCCCTTCAATGAGAAAGAAAAAACAGTTATTAACATCTCAACATTTTTCTATATGCATATTTAATAGTTTAAGCTGGTGTACTTACTTGAAATGCCTTGTGCAGATCAAAATGATATTTCAGCAGTTCCAGATACACAGGTAGCCTGTTTTGAGTGATATTATCTATGCAAATATATAATGGATATTGCTTATAGATTTGTTTCTTGTTTGACTTAAAATAAACGGTTGACTGCAGCATGTTGCCAAATGGAGAGAGTGGAATGCATTGCAAGACCTTAAATCACATTTTTCAAAAGAGGCAAGTTTAGGCTTATAAACAGTTGACCCATATTTAGCATTTCACTTTTTCACGTAAGATATATCTAATTAATGTTATATTTTAGGTTTTTGATGTTATTGTGTCCAGCACAGATGACATGGGGCCACTGAGTCTTGACAATTTTAGAAAAAATATGTCTGCATCATGGAGAGTTGTTGGATTAGAGACTTCAAATGTTGCCTATGAGGTTTGGAGGACTGATGTGCTTCTACATGGAAATTTCAATTCCTGTATTTAAAAGAAATATAAATAAAAGGCATTATTGTTTTATTGCTTCCAAATGTTAATTCATGTTTAATTGTTTAATTAAAGCTAAAGCAACCAACAACACATGTTAGACAAGAAAAATTAAAGGTGAAGGAAGAAAGATCTTCAGGTGGCATCATATTCTATACTCTGTAATATGCTTATGTTACTTAATTTACACTACAAGTCTACAACTCTCTTTTTTTTTATGCAGAGGGTCTTGCTCAGTGGACTGATAGCCCTGCACTGCAAGCCCGAAGGGTGAGCATCATTATTTGATATTTTTCTTATTAGAGCTTATATATGGCTTGTTTGGACACACCTTATGTTAGTGATAGTTTGCACTGTAGCTCATTTTAGTCTTGCTTATTGACAACAACAAAGACAAGTAAGTTTTCCACCTCAAATGACTTCTAGCTTAGCTAAAAATAACTTTGTCCAAAGTACATCATTGGCACATGTTGAAATTAAAATTTTCTTTGGAGTATTTACTCTCTTTTGGTAAATTTTGCCTAAAAGAAACTTTATCCAACTTAATTAGAAATGATAATATTAGAGAGTGTTGGGGCAACACCTATAATAGAAAAGATGGTGGAAAATAGACTTAGGTGGTTTGAACATGTAGAGAGAACAGCTATAGATTCTGTGGTAAGGAGAGTAGATCAGAAGATAGGAGTCAAGCAACTAGTGGTAGAGGAAGAGCCAGAAAAATTATAAGAGAAGTTATTAAGAAAGACCTTGAGATTAACGAATTGGATAAAAACATGGTTCTGGATAGAACGTTATGGCAGAATTTGATCCATATAGTCGATCCTACTTAGTGGGATAAGGCTTGGTTGTTGGTTGTTGGTTGTTGGTAGTTTGGTCTCACTGAGTTACATGTGGCATGTTTGAGACACACAACTTATTTATCCAATGCCCAAACGTCTACAATGATGTTCTGAGAATGATGTTCTGTTTAAAGTAAAAGTTATGTTTCGACTGAGTGTTTTTTATTTTGGAGATGAGATGTTTCATGTTCTTCATAACTATTTCTGCAGAAATTAATCGAAAAAAGGCGGGTAAAGCGTGCCTCTGAGTTGGTAAAGATGGACAATGAAGTAATAGTAAAACTCGAAAATTCAGCTATTGAACACTCAAGATCTGTTGAGTCAGCCGTATTAGGTAAGTACAACATTTGGAGGAAAGAAATTGAGAATGAAAATGCTGATTCTTCTGTTCGGTTTATGCGGGACCAGATCATTATGGCTAGGGTATATGTGAGTATTGCAAAGATGAAGAACAAGCTTGAGCTGTACCAAGAGCTGCAGTCTCGGCTCAAAGAGAGCCAGCATGCTTTAAGTGATGCAATTTCTGATTCAGATCTTAATCATAGGTTGGAGTTAGGTGGTATTTATCTACTTCTGTATGCCTTTGTCTGAATTTACTGCTTAGCTAATGTAGTGTAATTATCTCTAGTTCGCATGAACAAATAAAGACTATGGGCCAAGTTCTGTCAAAAGCACGAGGGCAATTGTATGACTGCAAGTTGGTCACTGGGAAATTGAGAGCAATGCTACAAACAGCTGATGAGCAAGTTAGGAGCTTAAAAAAACAAAGCACATTCCTTAGTCAGTTGGCTGCTAAGACCATACCAAATGGGATTCATTGCTTATCTATGCGCCTCACAATAGATTACTACCTTCTTCCCCCTGAAAAAAGGAAGTTCCCTATGAGTGATAACCTGGAGAATCCCAGTCTTTATCATTATGCACTATTTTCAGACAATGTCCTGGCTGCATCTGTTGTTGTGAACTCAACTGTTACAAATGCAAAGGTGAGTAAGACGGTCTTTTTATCTAATCTATGTTTCATGTGCACGATTTCCTTTTATAGACGGCAAATAATTTGTTCCTCCACTGTAGGAATTGCCTATCTTTCACGTATTCTCCATCTATGATTTGAGAAATTATATGATTAAGACAATCCTCATTGTCTTAATGTTTTTATATTCATTGTTGTAGGATCCTTCAAAGCATGTTTTCCACCTTGTTACTGATAAACTCAATTTTGGAGCCATGAACATGTGGTTTCTTTTGAACCCCCCTGGAAAAGCTACAATACATGTTCAAAATGTTGATGATTTTAAGTGGTTGAATTCATCTTACTGCCCTGTATTGCGGCAGCTTGAATCGGCAAAAATGAAAGAGTATTATTTCAAGGCAGGCCATCCAACCACACTTACTTCTAGTGCTTCCAATATGAAATATAGAAATCCAAAATATCTCTCAATGCTCAACCATTTGAGATTCTATCTTCCAGAAGTTTATCCTAAATTAGATAAAATCCTTTTTCTCGATGATGACATCGTTGTTCAAAAGGATTTAACCGGATTATGGGCAGTTGATCTTCAGGGTAAAGTAAATGGTGCAGTTGAAACATGTGGTGAGAGTTTTCACCGATTTGACAAATATCTTAACTTTTCTAATCCACATATTGCAAGAAACTTTGATCCAAACGCTTGTGGTTGGGCATATGGGATGAATGTATTTGATCTCAAGGAGTGGAAAAGGAAGGACATCACTGGCATATATCACAAGTGGCAAAATATGGTGAGTTTTTTAATATAGCATTAGTTTGCATCAGTGTCTTTTCACACACAAATAGGTGAATACGCAATCTTTTACTGACCTAGCTTATTTTTCTATCTGGTTCTAGAATGAAGACAGGGTTCTGTGGAAGCTGGGGACGTTACCTCCAGGGCTAATGACATTCTATGGGCTGACACATCCTCTAAATAAATCATGGCATGTCCTTGGTTTGGGTTATAGTCCAACTGTAGATCGATCGTTGATAGAGAATGCAGCAGTTGTACACTTCAATGGTAATATGAAGCCGTGGCTAGAGATTGCCATGACAAAATATCGGCCTTACTGGAAAAAATATGTCAAACACAATCATCCCTATCTCCAGAACTGTAAGTTATAATAATAGTCACATATTTCTGATAATTTGATGAAGATAATAGTTATCTTTCTTCTCCAGCCTCCCCCATTTTATTTCATCTTTCTAGCATGGATATTTCAATTAGAGTGTCTTGCTGGAATGATGATCATTGTCCTGGAACCTAGAAGGGCCAACGTTAATGCTTGTTTGATGTGTTTACCTCCAACATCATCTTCCCTTTCCACAATGATTTTTGCTTTCAATTCATTTAATTTGCTTACACCATTCTCACCCATTTGAAACAAGGTACATAAGTATTTACCTACCTTGCTTACCATTAAAAACTCCTCATTGTACAATAATCTGATTCTGATACTCTGGACATGATTTGAAATTGAACATCATGTTTTTATATATTCTTTGGAAAACATATCTTGTTAAGTTTTTAGAGGTATGTTATTTACATGTGCCAATTGTTATCTCTAAAATCATGGACTTCCCAGAAATTGTGTTTGTCTGATTATTTTTCTATTAATATTTTCTGTTTTTTTTTTTTCCTTTTACGTCAGCTGTGAAACTTATCTGTGCAAGGAATTACTCGTTTGGTGATTTAGTATAATCAGTAGTGTTGCTTTTGTCTGTGCCTATTCAATTAGATTTTACGTATTTAAAAATGAACGGGGGATAAGTTGATTAATTATCATAGGGATTTCTCTATTTAATAATTCATTACAAAGAAAATTGAATTTTACTAATTCAATTAAGTGTTGATTATTATTATAGTATTTTAAGGATTAATTATTCAAAATTTTATATACGTTTGGAATTTGTAACTGTAATCTTATCATCGGTTTATTTATATATATTTTTAAAAGTTTACTTAATAAAGTATCAAATAGTTTATTCAAGTGCATTTCAAAGAGATAGTTAGAGATCTTTCCGGCGCTTAACCAGAAGTTTATCTTTGGTATTTATTTGTATAAATTTTTAAAAGTTTACTTACTAAAGTATCAAATAGTTTATTCAAGAGCATTTAAATGAGATAGTAAGAGATTTTTTGGGTGCTTAAGTAGAAGTCCGGAGTGAATTAGTGAAATATATATTGTTTATAATGAATTATTACGTTGATTAACTCATTATACACTTACTCTTGGAGATGTTATATCTCCATTCTGTACTTACTGTTTATTAGTCTTTTCATCCTACAATATAAATCATTTAAGCAACAAAAATGTTTATATGGTATTTTTTAGTACCAATAAAATATTAGCTTTTTTTTAATTATACTTCCAACTACTAATTATTTTTTCCCTTCTTCAGATATAGTGTACTCCCTTTCTCGTATGAAAGAGTTTGAGATGCCTTACATTTTGTGGGTATTTCTTTCTTTCATTTATAATAGGGTGGATTTTTTCGTGATTGTTTCATTAGAGTAATGAATATATACAATGATATTGAGTCATGGCTGACTCATCCAGATAATTTGTTAATCAATATGCATAACTAAATATATAAGATGCTAATAATTTATGCAATGAATATTTTAATTCTAATACACTTTCATAATTGAAATTGGAGCTCGATGAATATTGAGACTATCTCTGAAATGATCAAATAATTGAAGCGGAAGACCCTTTGTGAAAATATCATCTATTTGATAATGAGATGAAACACGCATAACACATGCTTGACCTTGAGCAACACACAAAGTGGATATTCATTTCAATTTGTTTTGTGCATTTGTTGGATATGATTACCTGACAAGTAGACAACATTGATGTTGTCATAGTAGACTACAGTGACTTTTGTGATCGGACACTAGACTTCTAACATTAGGTTTCGAAGTCAACATGATTCAATAACAACATTAGCAACACCATAATACTCTGCTTTAGCACTAGAGAGGGATAAGGTTGGTTGTCATTTTGCAGACCTAAGAGATCAAATTATCTCCGAGATAGACATAATATCTGAACATGGATCTTCTAGTATCTGGACAACCTCTTTAACCAACAGCAACATATGTGGTGAATGTATCAACTAAGGAAGGAGAGATATGCATAACGTGGGTAATTGTACCCTTAATGTACCTAATAATTTATTTCAAAGTAGTCATGTGTTGAGTTCGTGGATCATGCATAAAGAGATACACTTGTTGAATGACATAAACTGTATAAGGCCTTGTGAAAGTTAAATATTGTAATGCACCAAGGCTTCGATGTTCAGAGTGATCATGATATGGATTACATGACAATTCATTAAGCTTTGTTTTAGTGTCCATCGCGGTAGAAACTGGTTTGCAAGATAGCATGGTAGCTCGCTCAATTATCTCTTCGACATATTTATGTTGAGAGAAATATGTAACTTGAATGTATAGTAACTGAGATACCCAGAAAGTAACCGAGAGACCCAAATTTTTCATAGCAAATTCAGAACTGAGTTCAGACATGATGGATTGACGAAGAGGATCAGATGAGGCACTAAGAATAATGTCATCTACATAGAGGAGAATGCATGTTATATTGTAACCACTATAATGTAAAAATAAATAATGATCACATGCAATGTGTGAGAAGCTCAAGGTAGCAACAAATTTGGTAAAATGTTGATACCATGTACGAGGTGCTTGTTTAAGGCCATACAAAGACTTTTTCAATAAGCATACATAATTAGGATGTTAAAGATCACGGGAATCAGAAGGTTGATGTATATAGACTGTTTAATTATTGTTGCCATTTAAGAAAGCGTTTTGACATCTATTTGATGACACCATGATTTTGAGATAACAATACTTAGAAGAACAGTCTGTATAGTTGCGGGTTTTACCATTGGACTAAAAGTTTCACCATAGTCTACACCAGTTTGTTGATTAGATCCATTTCTTACTAGACGAACTTTATATATCTCAAAAGAACCATCTGATTTATTTTTATGCCTGAAAATACACAAACTTCGAATGACATTAGCATTAGTCAGATGTGGTACTAAATCTCAACACTTGTCAGACTTCTTCATACTCATCTGTGCGTTGGGAGAGGAGTTCTTCAACTTCCATCCTTCTAAGGCATTCCCTTATTTCTAGGTCCTTTCCTTCTTGAAGTCCTGTGACAAGATTTTGAATCTGCACCTCTTGACTTTGGGTCTCTCCCTCTAATTCTTGGATTTGAGCTCTCAAAGCTTATTTCATTTCCTGCTTGTCTTGAAATGCTTGGTTATACCAACCCTTTAGCCTTCTGATTTCTCTAGATGCATCATCCAATCGTTGATTGTGAGAATCAAGGTTGAAAGTAGCCCTTAGTAATTCCTCAGTTGAACATTTTCTTTTACTCATTTCCTTCTCTGCCAATTCATGATTCTTTTTAATTTGTTGATCCTTTAGCTTAAGATCACGATGTAACTGATTTTTCTCATAATCAACTTTCTAGAGGCTATGCTCTAATTCCTCTTTCTCTCTTTGGTCTTGCTCAAGGGTGACCCTAAGCTCACCCACTTCCTCCATTAATATTGGAACATGATCCGGTATGTCTGGCTGATACAAAGGATCAATAGAAAAAGGGATTTTGTTGGTTAAAACCCTATCTAGGACCCATTGAGTGTAGAGTTCTCTTGCTATAACATTCTTTCTTCCAAATTTATACACCTTCTTATGGACTTTGCCCAAAGTTTGGATGATTTTCCCGAGTAGATCATGATTACCTTTTTCCATATCATGGAGGATCAATTGTTTGAGCTGATCATCAGAGGTTTTACCTTCCATAGGATACCCAAGTTGACGTAAAATCAAAGTGGGGTTGTAGTTGATACAACCTCTAGTTCCAATCAAAAGATCATTAGGAAAGTCTCCCCAATTATAGATAGTCTCCTCTATATTAAGCTTCCTAGCATACCATAAAATGGAATCAACACTAAGAGTCCTTAACTTTTGTGACCATTCATTCCTTGTTAAGTCTTTGACCGTGTAGCTTCCCTTATAAAGGTGAGATAAAAGCCATGAAAACAAAAGAGATATGCAACATTGTAGTACTCCTCTACCTCTCTCATGTCGTACATGAAGAGTGTAATATATGTCAGCAAGCAAGGTAGGAGTTGGATCTGAATTCAAAACCTTCACAGGTCAAGAAGATTTTATTAGGAACAATGCAAATTTGATTTGATTTCATAAAAAGATCTTTGAGAATTTTTAGGAAACTTTGAAGATTGATTCTTATTTTTGTAGATAATCTTGCACCTGATTTAAAATTAGAAGATTGGATTTGATTGAAGAGTCCAAACTCGTACTGCAAGAGTCTATATATAAGGATTTGCTAAATCTAAAATAAGCAAGCATTCCCATCAAAAACCGTGGGTGCATAATATAAGAGTTTAGGATTTTGAGAGTACTTTAGGTGCTTTATTTTTGTGTGTGTCACTCATGTATCTTTTGATACATTGAGGTATACTGATTGTTCATTGTTACTTGCCCATCACTCATGAGCTTTTAAGCAAAGAGTTAATTGTGTGTCAAGTTATTGTTCTTAGTTAAAAGCTTTTAAGAAAAATTGAGTATTGTAATTGGAAGTGTGTTCTTCTGTTTTTGTTATTGTCACTGAGGTGACTGTGGAAAGTGAGAGGGGGATCTCATACATAGAAGGTTTCTAGGTAGAAATTGCACAAGATAATGATTAGGTGATAAGTTGTAAAATATGGTTGTTTAGCTTTGAACTAATACTATCATAATGAATTTCCTTTCTGGCTTGGATGCCCTTATAGTAGGTGAGTTGCACCGAACTGGATTAACAATTAATTGTCTCTTTTACCTTTTGCAATTTACTTCTGCATAATTATTGTTTTGGTACAAGTTTTTTCTGATGGTAGATGATGTCATAACATCTGTATTGACATTGTCATAATTATCAATTCTTTAAATAAAAACTTTTAATAATTTCTAAATCACGAGAAGGTTAGATTCTTAGGTTTTGAGTCTCTTGTGTATTTGTAAGTAATCCATGTATCATTTGATACTATGTGGTAAATTGATTGTTACTTGACAGTTTGTCAAGTTA